TTTTTTTTTTTTTTGTTTGTTTGTTTGTTTTGTTTTGTTTTTAACAGATTAGGAAATATCGGAGATAGTTGAAGGTTACACAAGTTCTGGTTTTACTCTAGGCTTTCTGCAGAGGGGAGACCAGAACTTGTGAGGCATCTCTGAAGCTCACTGTCTTATAACCACCGCCTATTTCCTGATCCTTCTGTCCACTGCAGGTTTGACTTCCCCAGCAGGCCCTCTCCATCAGTCTACTGGGCCAGAAACAGGAACTGACAGTGCATAAATAACTTCCTAGGGTGGCCCTCTCCTAGGTTATCCCTCACACCTGCCCAGAGCCTGCACCGAGGCTCTAACCTGAAATCTAGGTAGGACTCAGCAGCTTCTCTTCACAGGGTTCCTTCAGTAGCCACTGTCCCTTGTACGGCGTGGCCGCCCTCAATGGCTCCTCCCTGGCTTTATCCCAACCCTCGGCCCCATCCCTCTGCTACTTTGTGGCCGGGGTCTCTGGCCTCCTGGCCCTCTACTGCCTCCTGCTCCTGCTCTTCTGGGTCTACAGCAGCTGCATCGAGGACTCCCACAGGTGACTGCCCTACCCTGAGAGTCAGGGGCTGAGCTCGGGGAAGGCCCATTCCAACCACAAGGCTTGTTCTCTCCCTCCTCAGAGGCCCTACAGGGCTCCGCATTGCACTGGCCATCTCTGCTATAGCCACCTTCCTGGTCTTAGTGTCTGCCTGTATCCTTCGATTTGGCACCCGTTCTCTCTGCAAATCCATCGTCTCCCTGAACATTACAATTAGGTAATGGGAGAGGGAGGGAACCCTGGCTGGGGCTGACTGCCTTCCCTTTTTGTCCCTCTCAGTTCTCCTCTCAGAGGGCATCCGGGCACAGGTATGTTTGGGGTATATCCTCCCTTTCTCACCACCATCTTTTGACCTCACAGCTGCTCTGAAGCCCAGAAAATTCCATGGACACCCCCTGGAACCACTCTGAAGTTTTACTCCAACCTATACGATGCTGAAGTGAGGTTCTGGGACATGAAAGACTAGGTGGAAACTCAGGGGTCCACAGACTCCTATAAGCATCTGTAGTTGTCAGGGTGCCCACCAGTGAGAGGCTGAGAGGGGCTGATGGGCTTGTTGACCTGACAGCGAGCAAATAGCTGTATGTGGGTGGAACTGGATTCAAGATGGCCACGTTCCTCACGCTCTTGTTCCTGTTTCCCACAGACCTCTTCTTGGGTGAATCTGGTATTGTGGTGTGTGGTCTTGATGCTTCAGGTGGTGCAGTGGAAGTCTGAAGCCACACCTTATCGGCCTCTGGAGCGGGGGGACCCCGAATGGAGCTCTGAGACAGATGTTCTTGTTGGGCCACGCCTTTCCCCTTCCTGAAGAGTAACCAGAAAATCCTTCCTGCAGCCAAAGACTCCATGCCCACGTGCCTACAGTCCTCTTGCCCCCACGTGGCCCTGTTTATAATGGGAGCCTGTTTTTCCCTCCACGAGGGAAACGTGACAATGGGCTCCCTCCACCTCTCTTCCTACAGCTGTTTTTGTACCAAAATATTAGATTACTTTTTTCCTTCATCTTGGTACTGAGTTCTTGGTGTTGAAAGCACTGTAGGCAGGTGGATCGGAGGACAGGAGCGAAAGCCAAACAGACATGGAACCAAAATTCAGAGGTACTGTCGGCTGCCTTTGGGATGACTGCTCTTTTATTTGCTGTTAATGAACCCTGGGCCCCCTTGGGTGACCCCCATCCCCGAGGTCCGGTTTTTATTCCCCTCTGGGAGGGGTGAGCCATCCGCGGTGGTCTCTTCACAAGCTGCGGTAGGCACCCACAGTGTTGTCAAAGAGTTTTGTGTTGGGGAAGTGTCCAGCTTTGTCCAAGAGGAAGTAGAAGCGCCGGCCTTTGATCTTCAGAGGCAACATGGCAGGGACTTCACCACGGTGGGCCATGCAGGATACGTGGTTCAAAGGAACGGTGAAATGGGCACCCAAGCCAAAGGGAGCGTGAGTGGTGAGGGTCACCTGCTTTCCTCCAGCCAATAGCATCACTGAACGCACAGAACGGAGGGAGAAGAGGAGACCGGCACCAAGTACCAGGGTACCTGCAGGAAGAGCAAAGTTTGGGGTGGGGCATTTTCGCGGGAGAGCTAAGCAGGAACCTCGCCGGTCCCCCCAAATTAAAACAATTGCGACGATGGTAACATTTTTTGAGCTCCTCTTCTACCCCGGGGTCTTGTGTTCCGTCATTCCTTCCCAACAACATTAATGTCCACCCCCATTTTAAAGACAAGGAGACGGGTTCAGGGCCGTGTAACTGCTCAAGCTCGCAGAGTGAGAGGCTGACCTCACCCTAGGCCTGTCCGAGAGCTTGGCTCAAGGCCCTCCCACCTCCAGTACTGCCCGCCTCGGAGGGTCGGAAGTCCCTCACTGTCCTTGTCGGAGCAGGGAAGGTCGTGCCCAGCCACCCCACGTCCCCAAGGTGGGAAGCCAGCCCACGCCTTACCGATGGCGCCGCAGCCGAGCGCCAGGCCGTAGCGCCAGAGCGTGGAACGCAGGTCCGAGCGGCCGCGGTCCGGGAACTCCGCGTCTGGAGACAGCGCCCGGGCCGGGGGTCGGGCCAAAGCTGCCACGGCCAGGGAGGCCCAGAAGACGCCCTGGCCCGCGCAGAACAGCCCGAGGACCGCGAAGAAGCGGCCCCGTTCGTGCTCGAAGAGCAGCACGTCCCGCGGCGGGGCCGCGGCGTGCAAGGACCGGTGCACGGGCAGCGGCCGCAGCGTAAGGAGCAGCCACACAGGCCACCGCCGCCCGGGCGCCGCCATAACTACGGCGGCGCTGCTTCTGGGGCGGGATTTCCGGCAGGCGGGCCCCGCCCCCAGCGCTCGGCTGCCCGCAGCCTGGGTCCCGCCCCGGGAGGGAGGGGAGGACGGGGATGAGGCGGGGGGCTGCCCGCCAGGCTTTGCCCCAGCACCACCTCCTGGCAGGGGCGGGGCAAAAACAATCTAGCACGCGTGACACAAAATACAATATCACTCTTTATCTTAAAAAGTAAGGAGGGTTCTGGGGTTAAGTACACAAAGCACCTAGGTCCTTCGGTAGTTTAGTGTCAGTTCTACAAAGTAAGCTTTGGCTTCCTGGCACCAGTGAGGCTCAATCTTCCGGAAGTCTTCCAGAAGTCTCCCAGAAGGCAGGTGAGGAGAGGGATCCGGCAGCCCATTCTCTTCGGTCACGGTCACAGTCACAGGGTGGCCTCGGTCGGTCGGGGCCAGAGAGGAGAAAACGACAGCCATGACAAGGAGACATCAATATCCAAGGGCTATTTTACAGGGGGCTTCTTCTGGGGCATGACTACGGATCACTTCATGAATGCCACTTCTGGGATCTCGCCCTTGGCCTTAGCAAAAAAAGAAAAGGTCAGCAGAGCCAGCCCCTTTCCCCCACCCCCAGCTTGCCTGACCCTCTTGAAGGCCAGAGATCTCTGGCCTTTTTGCGACTGAATTCCCCAAACTTACCTTCAGATGAGTAAAGGCCTGGGCAGATCTGGTGTAGTCCCAGTTGTTGTCCTGGAGACACCTGCAGTGGGGGAAGAACAGGCACCCTCATTAGAACCAAAAGGCACTCACCCTGATGGCTAGATGCCACTTCAAAGTCCATTATATAGTAACACTTGCCAGTGTGTGCCAACAATTATATACATTCTTGCACTGTGTATACAAATGAAAAACTTGTAACAATCCAAATGTCTATCAATGGCCTACTGGATACAAAGGATTACTAAGTAGCTGTCAAGAGGAGGAAGGTGATTTTTACAGTGATGGGGATGTGCCTGGGTGGCTCAGTCGGTTAAACTTCTGACTTCAGCTCAGGCCATGATTGCAGGGTGAGTTTGAGCCTCATGTTGGGCTCTGTGCTGACAGCTGGGAGCCTGGAGCCTGCTTCAGACTCTGTGTCTCCCCCTCTCTTTGCCCCTCCCCTGCTCATGCTCTTTCTCTCTCTCAAAAATAAACAAGCATTTAAAATACACACACACACACACACACACACACACACACACACACACACACAGTGATAGGGAAAGATGTTCACAAGATAAACAAAAAGGTAAGTTGTAAAACAGTATATACAAAGAGACTTCATTTGGGCTTTAAATTTTGTGATGCTGATTTATGCAGAGGCCACATTTTTTTATGGACCGTATTTATAAGTTCTGGTTTTTAAAATTTTAGGAGCACTCATTATTCACTACCACCCCTACCTCCATTTCCCCCTACTGCTACACATGCCCAGCACTCACTTCTGGGACCACTCAAGGTTCATGCCAGACTGGGTAGAGAATGCCTGCAGCATCTCCTGCTGCTCTGGGGAGAGGGTGGGCACTGGGCTGGAGGAAGGTGTGGGTGCAGGCATGGCGAAGGCTCTCTGGATCTCATCAGGGCTGGCATTGCGCACAAACAGCTCGTCATTTACGATGCACAGCCTGTGGGACAAAAAGCACTTTAGACAGCTGGACAAACAGACCACCTCATCTTCCCAACTTTATTCCTGTTCTCATACTTGACACCCTTACACTCGACAGGTTCTTTCAGCATTCACAAAGTACCCCTCCCCCACTATTGGTCATTACAATTTATCATTTACGACCCTTCCCACACAACCCGTGTAAGCGGTTCTCTACCGAACACACTAGAATTACACATTCTCCCCCAACTCTGGACACTTCTCATCCCCATTTATCTTCACGACAGGCCACGGAAGTAAATATACTAGTTTCCAGACGAGGAAACTTGCCCTTAGCTAGAAGTGGTAGGGCCAGGATGAAAAACCCAGCCTGGCTCCAGAGCCAAGCTCACCACCATTGTGAGATCTTCCTCCTGATTCCCCCCAGCCTTTCTGAAATTCTGAAAACATCCTGAGGACCGGCTCCCCCATCCCCGCCCCTACCAATTCCCACATGCTGGCCATGGAATGGGACTGGGACCCCATGTGGTAAGCCAAACACTTACCCTGAATTGCTGGCAGGAACAGCGACAAATGTCCTGGTGAAGGCTCGCAAAGAATCCCGAGATTTTCCATCCACTGTAATGTTAACAACAGCAATGACCCCTTAGGATCAGCCACGCTTTGTGTTTACCGAAAGCTTCTCCCATCACGGTCTTACTTGATACGACTAACGTGAAGTAGACCAGACGGATGACTGCGTGTGTACAGGGGAGCAGAGGTGAAGAGGAATGTCGGGCCAGCGAGGACAATAACCACCCGTTAGCCCACCCACAGAACATCTGTGTGCAAGGTCCTACGGCAAGCCCTTCATTTACTCCCCACAGCACCGCTAGGGGATGGCTAGTACCCCTTTTTACAAATAAAGAATCTGAAGCTCAGAGTTAATGTAAATTGGCCACGGGCACACAGGACCAAGGTTGGAATGGAGCCTTGGATCTGCCTGACACCAAAGCCTGTGTCCTCCTAATCCTCAGGTTTGTCCCATATCCCAGACAGGAAAGACAGGTGGAGAGGGTAGGCCTCATGAAGATGGCTTGGGGCAGAAGAGGAGGAGGTCAGGGGAGGAGAGGGAAGGTAGCTGAGAAGCCGAAAGTGTGGAGAAAAAAGATCTAGCTGCAGGAGGGGCCCACTCTGCAAACTCCAGACTCCACCAAGATTCTCACCTTCCTTGAAGACCCCATTGACGGAAAAACACAGCAATGTGCTCTGAAAGAGAAGCAGCGTCAGTCACCAGGTGGGCTCCCCGCCGGAGCCTAAGTCCCCCATGCCTCGTGACCGCCCCTTCCTTCCCTAAGTTCAGGCTCCGGCCAGGGAAGAAACAGGTGCTTACTGTCTGGGCGCTTATGTCTACCACAAAGGAGTTGACGTCGTGCTGAGTTTTGGGTAACTCATTGAGGAAGGCAACAACGTTGAGACGCGTATGCTTCAGCAGGCGGAACCGCAGGGCTGTGGGGAGAACCCAAGGTTAGGGGCTGCCACACACTCCTGAGCTCTGTGACCAATTCCTTCCCACCTCCGTCCCAGGCTTTCTGCTCACATCACACACTTACTGGGGTCTTTGAGCTTCTTCACATTCCTGCTGTCCTTGAAGTACTCGGCCAGGTTGCTTCTAGGGGGATAAGTGGAAAAGGAGGCGGTGGTCAGCGTGGGATGGATGCTGGCAGGTGCTAGCCTGCATCTGCCGAGAAATGCTGGTCCCGGGCAGTGACACTCACCGGGAAGGGTTCTGGGGGGTAAAAGGGATGCTGAGGGAGCAGCAGGCCCCGTCATGGTAGGCGTCCAGGAGCCGCTGCCGGTCTCCAGAGTCATACACCGCGTAGTACCTGCGGGAACCACAAAAGGGCAAGTCTGAATTCCCGGCTCTGGATCCACAGAACGACCCAACAGCTGCCCCGAGTGAGCGACACTGGGGCTGGCCCACCTCTCCCCAGCCTCAGGGGTCCTCCGGCAATACTCACTGCTGCAAGAAATGCAGGACCAGGTTCTTCAGGGTCTCTGTTCCAAAATAGCTTCCCTGGAAGCAAACAGGTATCAGAATCCCATAACCAATACTCTCCTCCCCACACGAGTTCTAACTCTGCCCCACTTCTTACCTTGCAGGGCGGTAACGTCGTGGGGGCTTCAACGTCAAAGGCGATCGGAGGGGGTAACTCATGGCCATCCTGCAGAAAGGAAGTGGAAGTTGACAGCATAAACAGAGATGAAAAAGGCTGGATGAGTAATTAGATGGGACAACTAAGAGTGAGGGGGTCAGAGGCCAAAGAGACATGGAAAAGATCCCAGGAGCTGTGATAGGTGCAACTTTTGTCTACAGGCATTTCTCTGGGAAGAAAGATTATATAACCTTTGCCAGATCCCCCAAGGGCTCCATGTCTCCAAATTCATGGTCATACAAACATACGTGAGGCGGGACCTTTTGGGTGGGAGAGGCTATGCTCGTGACAAAAGAGTTAAAAAAGCTGCGGACTTACCAGGCGTAATAATTTGGGAAATCGTTCGCGAATGGCGCTGTCAAGAACAGGACAGAAGTGAGTGATGCTTCAGAGCCACCGTGCCTCCTGAGCTGCTCTAGGAGCACATACACCAACGCCCAAGGGACAGCCCCTCCCGTCCTCACTCCCGCCAGCCTCTGAGCTCCTGGGAGAGAGGCCCCACTCCCCACCTCACCCGGGGCACCCAGAGACAGCTGCCTTGAAGGCTGACCCTATTCTCTCTGCCTGATCCGAGCGCCACGAGAACAGCGCTCCCAGCCCGGGCTTTAAGCCGGGACGTCCTTCCCCACCCTGCACCCCTTACCTTCCACCTACTCACCTGTGCAGCCCCGGGAGGAGGGAATGGGGTGGGAGCCCAGGGGCTCCGCTGCCTCAACAGGTATCCATCAGTTCTGCCCAGTCTGGCCGTGGCCAAGACCAGAAACACCACAGGGATGGCACAGGATGTTGGGGCAGGGAGATGAGCAAGGCAGGGTTTAGGAAGAGGTGAGGCGAAGGAAGAGGAGAGGAGAGGAGAGGAGAGGAGAGGAGAGGAGAG